CCATACATGTTAGGAAGAGTTAAAATATTAAAAATAGAAATTACTATTACATCCTTTGATGTGTTTTAGGAAAACAACCAGACATGTGAACAAAGATTTTTAATGTGTTCACTATAATATTAGCTATGTAAATAAACAAGTTAGGTGTGGTGCCACATGGCTGTAACTCTAGCACTCAGGGAGTCTGAGGCAGGAGAATTGCAAATTTGAACCCAGCCTGGCAACCCTGTCACAAACAAACAAACGATTAGAAATAAATGCCTACAAATTAGAAACTAAGTAGATGTGTTTAGTTTGTGTAATACACAGCAATTTAAAAAAATTATGAGTAGCATTTAGTAACATGAAATGTTTATGCCACATTTTGATTAAGCAAAAACAGTAAGACAAATTGCATACATAGTATGCTTCTAATTTTGTAATGAAAACATGCTGTTTTAGCGAGCTTCTCATACTGTGACAAAGCAACTTAAAGGAGGAGAGGTTTATTTTGGCTCACAGTTTCAAAGGTTTCGGTACACAGTTGGCCAGCTCCGTTGCCTTTAGGTCTGTTTTGAGGCAGAAATATTATGGCAGAAGAATGTAGCAGAGGAAATCTGCTACCTATGGCAGCCAAAAAGCAGAATGAGAGAAGGCAGAGAAGAAACTGGGGACCAGAAATAGTTCCAGAGTTTATAACCCCATGATCCATTCCCTTCAATGTTTCCATCACCTCCCAAAAAAGCCATCAAATTATGATCTCATCAGTGGACTAATCCACTTGACAAAGTTAGAGCTCTCATGATTTTAATACTTCCCCAAAAGCATATCAGCTAACAATGAAGCTTTTAGTTCTTGAGTTTTGGGGTACATTTGAAATCCAAATCATAATATGTGCTTAGAAAACAACAAAAAAAGTAAATGTTCTGAAGTTTCAGACCCACAGATAAATGAGTGAAATAGAGGCCCACCCCCCAAAATCCCATGTATTTATAGTCCACTGTTTCTTAACAAAGAAACTAAAAAAATAAATTAGAGAAAGGATAGCCTCTTCAATAAATGTGACTGGGAGAAACTGAATGTATATGCTTAAATTTGTACAAAAATCACCTCAGAGAGATCCTGGGAAGATGGCAGAACCAAGTAGCAGAGTGAACATCCTCTCTGGGAGACACAGTCCAGATGCTGGAATATAGCATTGTGGAGAAGACAAGGAAGGAAATGGGTCCCACAACCCAGGAGGAATCTAGAGTGAGAATTGGAGCCCACAGAGAGAATAAAAAGAAAGAAAGAACTTAAACAGAAGAAGGTGGTAGCTGGCAGTGCTTTCAACTGGAGCTGGAACCAGCATGCAAGAAGTGCTGTTGGAACCAGGGAATGCACAGTCACAGTGAAGCTGGTGGCTGGCAAGCCTGACGGCCTCTCTGCAGTGGCAGAGGGAAGCAGCAGACCAGAGAACTGCACTGGCTGGCAGTGAGTGTGGGAGACTCAGTCCTCCTGTGGGAGTGGGCAACTGGCTGGGCACCATTTTGAAGTTGGGCAGGATAAGCCCAAAGCCAGAACTGCAACCAGCTTCATTCAGCCACTCATAGCTGGGAGCAGACTGGTAGAAATTGCTTGGACTGAGTCCCGCCCTTGTGTGTGGTACAACAGCCACATATAAGGTTTCCCTAAAGCTTTCCCCATTCAGTTCTGCCTGCCTGGGGCATACTAATTTGGTGAGGACACCCTGCGGTTAACCAGCTCGGGAAGGAGGTGTCAGTTTACCTTGCCCCATGCTTGCACTCCAGTAGCCACCAGCAGGCTGAGAAGAGCAGCAAACAGCCCTACACCAGTGCACCCAATGGTCACCATCAGACATCCCTAGCCAGTGTGCTTCAGAGAAATTATAACCAACACAGGAAGTGCTGGAGACCCCACTACCCACTTGTCTAGAAGAAATCAGGAACATAGCAAGAGGAAGAAACAAAAGGCAATTTATGGCCTCCAACACAAGCAGTACTGGTCCAGGAAATGTAAACATGAAAGAGATGGGGAGTCACACACCTAAAGTTTCTAAAGCAATAACAATTGAAAAAAAGAAACAAATTCAAGAGACTATAAAAGAACTTAGAACAGAAATACTATTGCAGGTAAAAGAAGAAATGCGAAACATAATAAAAGAATTGCTAAGCACCTCTAAAGAAGACACAGGAGGAAGAATAGAGGAGCATAGAAAAATGAGGGAAACCTTCAATGAAAATACAAAAAAGATTTAGAATACATGAAACAGATTCAAAGAGATTACCAGGAAATTAAATACTCCACTGAAAGTTGGAAAAACTGCTTGAAAGAAACTAAAGATAGACTATTAAACCTTAAAGACAGGTTTGTAGCTTATGAACATGAAAGAAAAGACCTCTTAAAATAACAAGGAACCAGGAAGTAAAAATACAAAGGCAACAAGATAACAAGAAGAAATATAACTTAAGAGTTAAAAATGTGAGTGAAGAAGCAGGGGTAAGGGGTTCGGGGTTTAGCTTAGCGGCCTAAGTGCCTGCCTTGCAAGTGTGTGTTTGTGAGTTCAGTCCCCGGTACCAATAAAAAAAGAAAAAAACAAAACAAAACAAACAAAAAAAAAGGAAGCAGGGGTAAACACAAATGAAATACAAAGGCTATTTACAGTAATAATTAAAGAAAATTTCCCAAGTAGAGGAAAAAGAAATGATATTCAGATAAATAAGGTATACAGAACTCCAAAAATCAATTCAAAATGCATGAAAGACCTGAAACTGAAAATATTAAAAAAGTTTTAAGCAAACACTTGAAGACATTACACTCATCCATTTTCTAGAACCCTAAGAGTGCTAATAATGAAAGCAAAAATAGACAAAAGGGCTTATATCAAATAAGAAGCTTCTGCCTGGCAAAAGAAACAATAAAGAAATAACTGACAAATGGGAAACAATTGTGCAAAGTATTCATCAGAGTAAGGTTTAATATTTAGAATATATAAAGAACTTTAAAACCTCAACAGTAGAACAATAACCTGAATTTTTAAGTGGCAAAAGACATACCTACTTTTCAAAAGCAGAAATTCAAGTGGTCAATAAATTTCTGTAAAAATAATTGACTTTATTGGCTATTAAGGAAAATATAAAACTAGATACAAAATGATATCTTCTCACCATCATCAAAATGGCTATTATAAAAAAAGATAAAAAACAATAAATGTCAATCACAATGTAAAGGGAAAGGAAATTTTATATACAGTTGGTGGGAATATAAATTAGTTCAACCATTTATTGAGTATGTGGGTTCCCTAAGTTATTAAAAATAGAAGTACTATACAATCCACCTATCTCAATTTCAAGAACATATCCAAAGGAAATTGTACCAGCATATCAGGGACACCTTCATGCCTATGCTTTCTGCTAAACTATTCACAGTTCCTAATATATGGAATCAGCTTAGATTTTTGTCAGTGTATGAGTATAAAAAGAAAATATCATATATATACATAATAGAATATTATTCATCCATAAAAAGAATAATGTTCTGTCATTTGAGGCAAAATGGATGGAATGAAGACATTATGTTAAGTGAAATAAACCATGCAAAAGATACATGTTATATAGTTTTGAAACACATGAATGTTTAAAGCAATTAGTTTGAATATATAATGTAATTGCTAGAGGCTAGGAAGGCAGGGGAAAGGGACAGAGGGAGGTTGTATAAAGCCTACCAAACACAGTTAGATGCAAATAATTAACTCCAGAGTTCCATATCACAGGGTAAGTTGAGTATAGCTCATAATAACCTACTATATATTTTATTACTAGAAGACTGAAGCTCCAAAGCTCAAAAGTAATGATGAGGAGATGCAAATGTTAATTATCCTGACTCAATCAATACTTATTTTATTCTCGTGTTGGAGTGTCATATTTTAACTCATACCCTTGCATAACTATTGAGAATTGATCAATTTTTTTAAAAGTTTAAAGAGTTGGAAATGCTAACTATCCTGATTGGATTATAACACACTATATTCATTTATCAAACTATCACAGTGGAACTTATGTTTGTGCTATTAAATTAATAATTAACTGTTTAAAAAATAAAATGTTCTAAAGTTTTAACAATAGACCATAGATGATTTCATACTCTTTGTAATATATTTATTATAGGTAGTCTTGTAAATAAATATCTACCTATTCAGTGACATAATACCTTTTACTTTATTACTAAATGTGTGATTTGAAATACAAACATCTCACTCATAGCTTTAACTATTTATCATTATAATAGGTAGTGCATAAGTGATGATATGCTTTTCAAGAACAGATCTGAAAAGTATTTGCTTGAGACAGAAAAGTATATCTAAATTGGAAGGGAGAGGAATGCATGTCTGATTCATAAACCACACAAACATCATGAAACTAAAAAGAGGTTGCACATGTTTCAAAATCAACCCCAAGCACATGCCTATAATCCCAGCCACCTGAGAGTCTGAGGCAGCAGATCCCCATGAATTCAAAGCCAGCTTGGGCTACACAAGTGAATTCAGCATGCATTACACAGTGAGATCCGATCTCAAAAAACAAAAATCCAACCCCAATAATTTTGAAAATGTTCTTTTAAGCAAGAAGTTATAGAAAATAGAATGGAAAGATAAGAACTTTAGCAGTATATCTAGAATATGTACAAATCAATATGCCCTTGAAATGTTATATTAAAAAGCAATCCATAGGACAAAAGATACATCACTTCAAAACGTTCAGAATATTCAAATATGAGAATAACTATATTGGATATCAGACATTTAGAGCCTTAAATAAATCAGAGGTGCTTTGGAATTATAGTTCTACCTGTTTTCAGAAAAGAAAATAATTCTTAAAACACTAACTACTTTGTCCAACTTCCCATTGCTAGCCAGTCAAGAAAGTTTCTGTACTTCATGATAGTACTATTGCATATTTCACTGTAAATGCAATTAAAATAAAGTTTTTAAAATATATTCTCAAAAACAAACTTGTACATACCACTGTATGGACTTGGTCATATGTACTTTGGATTTTCCCATTTACTTTGTTTTTACCTGTCAAAACAACAAAAGGTGTCACTATTCTTTTCTTAATGCTCCTAAATCAATTCTAGCTTATCATTGTGAAGACTACAACTTGTGCTGTTTCTAATCTGGGCATGTTATTTAGTTGCTATGCTTTCAAACACTGATTCCAATGAAGCCTGAGTAAAAGTAACCAGAAGAAAGTTCAGGTTCCGTTACTGTCCTTTTATGCCCACTTCTGCTGGTCTATCTTTCCATTATGAACATTACTATATATAATTTGGACCTTTTGAATCAGCTGTATTCATAGGCCAAGGCTTTATTTTAGACCCCACAATTGCCGATGACATCAGTAGAAATACAAAGTAAGAGTTCATCACTTATTTAAAATCAACTAAAAATTCTGAAATAATAGTAAATTCTATTCTTTTTGTATTTTCTTAAATACTAAAACATGGAAACAAACTAATTTCATATGATACAACTAATACAATAATTAAGCTTTAGATAATTAGAAAAAAGAAAAAAATCATAAAAGCTTACAGACTTACTTCCAACAATAGTCTTGTGATTGAAAATCTTACTCCAAATACTACCTTCTACATTGTCTTTTACTCCAAATTCATAAACTGTGTTGGGCTTTAGATTGTCCACAATTGTTTCAGTGGCTGGACAGAGTTGAAAAATCCATTTCTTCTCTTTATCCTTTTCTCTATAGCGAATTGTGTAAAATCTGTTGAATAATCAAAATATAATGCTTTAAAATCACATGGAGATTCAGAATATACTTCCAAAAATTTTTAATGCATCACAGACTTGAATATACTCAGAAGACTTAATTTTGGACTGTTCTAATTTTTGTAATCTGCAGAGAACATAAAAAATAATATGTACTTAAAATTTTAATTTCAGATTGAAGCTGGGGCACCAAGTGGCAGGATAGTTATTATCTTACAGAATTCTACATTTCTCAATTCTGCTTGATATTTAACAAATCATAGTCTAAAAATCCTAATTGATTTATTTCCAGTTGTACATAGAGCAAAATATAGGTTTTATTTTACAAATATTTAATGTCATAGTTTCATAATTTTATGACCTTAAGCCTTTATATTTCTTGAAGGTATATTAAGGTATGTTACTCAATTTTGTAAAACATGAACTTGAGACTCTAGGATGTATGCAAGATTACATGTTAAATGTGGAAGATACTTATTACAAAATAGTATCAAGACCAATAAACAGCCAAGCTAAGTAAAATTTGAAAATTTAAAATGCAAGTTCAAAATCACTAATATATACTTGCTTAGTGGTATGCGTGTCTCATAACTCAGTGGTATACATGTCAGTGTAAGATAATCTCTACCACTATTTTTGTACTTTTACTACATGACACATTTTCCTTACACATGTTATCCCTTTATCACAAAACATGCTAAGTGGTAGAAATTATTAACACTAACTTATAAATGCAAAAACTAAGTTTCAGAACAATTAATTTACCCAGTTTCACCCAGCTAGTGGCTTTTACAACTGGTAGGGGCAAAACCTAAACAAAAGAAAGGCTTTCCTGGCTCTATTTTAAACATCCTTTCTAAGAGGGGCAGATCATGGAAAGCTTGCATCACTACTGTCCATAGTAATGAGAATGAACAAAACTAGCATAAAATGTATTTACATAGATACTAGATCTTACAAAGAACATATTGAATGAAGATAACTGATTATAGAATGAAGCATATAGTTAAAGAGGACATATTAAAACATTCACCCAAAATATTACTATTTCATTATCCCTAACATTATAAAGTGATAAATATTGCAAGATTGTGACATGCATGATAGTTCTTTGGCTTCTGCCACACAGGTGCAGAAGATGGTTTAGAAGATAGATGGTTTAGAAGATGGTGTCAACTGATAGTTATACTTTATCAGTTTTTTATTTTTTAAATAAATATTTTAAATAAATAAGTAAAATAATAGCTTCCATATACTGTAGTGGAAATGGGCATTTGGTATATTATATTAGGTTTTTTCTTATATTTTTAAATTTTTGAGAAAAGTTAAATGGATAAAAGTTTAATTTAATTGATTTTATTTAAAACTTTAAACATCAGTTATTCACTCATGCTAAAAAATTGCTGGGCACCCTCTAAGCACTATTTTGATGCTCTTCAATCTCTTCAGGCAAAAAGTGCTTGATGCACATTTACCTTGCCCTTGAAAATCAAGGACTAGGATTCAATGTAACCTGAGGCCTCAGTGGAAAATGAAAATGTGAATCCCTTATTTATAAATTATTAAGAATTTTAAGACAATAGCAGCAGAGTATTAAGTGAAACTATCACCCTTTCAAGTAAAGGGATCTTGTGCATGGCTCTCATGCCCTTGTGAGTCAGCAGAGGGTTATAATTCAACAACTACAGAGAGAGGATATATATATATATATATATATATATATATATATATTCATACATGTCTACAATATATAATAATTATTTTCCTCATAGGGACTTGTTACATGTATTCAACACATCTTAATTCTTACTACCTTCCTTTACTCTCTCCTCCTCCTTTCTCTCTCTATTTCCTATACTTTTTCCTATTTGCAAATCTCTGTGTGTGTGTCTTTCTCTCTGTCTCTGTCTCTGTCTCTTTCTGTCTCTGTGTCTCTGTCTCTCTGTCTATCGGTCTGTCTGTCTGTGTCTCTCTCTCTCTCTACATGTGTGTGTATTTATTACCTGCCTTTTATTTTGCTCTTTAAGTTATTTGTTCAATAGACTTTTACACTAGTCCCACAGCACTAAAATGCTTGCAGTCACTTATTAACTTGCTTCCGGTGAAAGTTGCTCTAAGGACTCTAGTCCCCAGTTCTAAAGTAGCAGAAGTCAGAATGAGCAAAGTAGGCTGTTTCAACTCAAATGCTAACTGTTCCTATAAACAAGTGCTATAAAATACAAGTCTTTTAAATCAAAATATCAACAATAATTTGTGAAATGCATTTCTTGACAAGTATGCCACATGGAATTTTTGCTGTTTTCCCTGTTGTAATTCTTGCAGGACTTTAAAGAAGTGCTAAGAAACTAAAATCCAACAAAATGGGCTACCACAATTATTCATCTTGAGTAAAGATGCATTTCTGAAGACAATTCCTTGTATTATCCAGGGTCCAATTGCTAACAGAACTACCAAAGTGCCTTTCAAATCAACTTGATTTTATGTCATCTTCCTATGAATAAAATGGAATAGAAATGTTCTGTACTCTTTAAAAGTCCGAAACTTAAACACATGTTTTTAAAAATACAGATTTTCCTAGTTCAGACATAAAGCATCCAAAATCCTCTCTTTTCTATTAACTTTGGCAGGTGCATGGGTGGCCAGTCCTTTTTCTTTGCTTTAGGTATGCTTGCCTTTGCCAATATTGTCTAAGTTGATAATTGTATAAGACAGGCAAATTTGGCATTTTAAGGGAGAGAGAAAATGAGACCATTTAGTTATACTGAAAATACTGCAGTGAAGCAAAATATAAGCTGAAGATAATAATATGTTCTTTATAATTCAATGCACAGTATTTGCTTCATAAACATATATTGAATGAACAGGGTGGATACTTAGTTTCCCGTTGATCATTTTAGAATTAAGATACAAATTTGTCTAAATGGCCAATATTTCAATCATCAAAAATCCTAATTTAAACCTAGGTCTATAATTATATTTTATAAAGTGTCAATGCATAAGGCTTTACTTATCAAAATGCAGCTTCTATAGAATTATCATCAATTGAAGCAAAAGGTAATAAATTTTGCTTATTTACTTATTTATATCTATAAACTTATTTAATTTGAAAGAGGCTGAGCAGTACCTGTGGTCTAATAATCACTCAAATAACCAAGGTACAGGCTGTTTTCCACTCTTATCCTAATACTTTTTGGTCTCCATTAGACTCCTATTCTACTCTAGTGCTTTGCAAAAAAAGAAAAACATAAAATGAAGGGATGCACAGTAAAAAGAACACCATTTGGCACCACTCAAGGTATTTTATTCATTTTTATCTTATTGTGTATTTGCCATAATATGTAGCCATTCTTTTCATTTTCTTAGGATGTTCAGAATCAAAAAGTATTGATGACACCCTCTTTCAATGGATGGTTAAATTTGAGCTAAACTGCACAGAGAGTCAACAAATCAACTGAAAGTATGGTTAGCAGCTAGAGTTTGATATCAAACCAGTCCTCTAAAAACCTGGTTCTAGTGATATGGATTTTAAGAACAGAGTAACTCATATTGTTATTACGAGGTAGAAAGCTGTTGAAAGTAGTGTTGATTCAACTGGTATTATTGGTTGCTTGGACCTCCAGAACAGTCTCTATATTGACAATTATTATAGCTTCAAGGATCCCAGAGCTCATCAAAATGTAGTAGAAATGCAGGTAGTAGCTTAACTTGAATACTCATCAATTGTAAACTAGTAGAACAAACTCAGAAGAATCTCTTGTCCCTCTTATATATCAATTTTATCACAGGGGATTTTGGAAACTAATCTTGAGATCGTTTCTGTTCATAGAAATTTATTGCAGTGTCATTTCAGACATTTTGCCTGAGACAAAGATGGAAACCTCATAAGCTGAGCTAACCATATAACTGCCAAATTGCACCAAAGGGATACATTTAGTCCTTCTACAAATTCCCTTCCTAACATTTGGCATCTTTTTGTCTTTCTATAATTTTCTTCAGTAATGCTTTTATTTCAATAGGATCAACTATTGCACTTCCTAAAACACCCACCCAACATATTTTTACTGTGCTCACCTCAAAGATCACTCCCTAATATCCCTTTGTCAAATGTTGTCACTTTACTTCACTGAGATGGTAACAATGATATAAATTCTTCCCCACCCCCTTCTTCCTTTTCATTCTCTTATTCCTCTCTAATTTCAGGGAAAGAAGTAACTCTCCTCTTTTCACAGACTTCTTGGTCCCCATTTTCTGACTGCATCAGCTCTCCACCTTAAGTTTTTAAGGAACTTTGTTCCCAAATTTAAAAGTATTTTTTATTCTACTTAAACAAAAATATCCTTCTCTTAACCCTGTTTCTATATTCCAGTACAAACTTTCTTTTAAAAAATCTGCTTTTTACCACCTAAAATGTCTGAATCTCTTTATAAGTTGGTGTCTAATCTCTTTATCATAGTAAAATGTCCAAGAGTTTTATAACCACCTTAAAATCTACTCCTCTTTCCTCATTTTGTTCCTTTTCTCATCATATCCTATTACTGTGCACTTGGGGGTTCCTTCTCCTTTAATGTCCAATAAGTGACAACTTGACAGATACGATGTCTTTTCCTGCACTATTTTCATTTGCACTTACACTATGGTTTATTCCTAGATGATCCCTCAGAGCCTCATGCAGTCATAGGTAGGGCTTTCAAGAGATGATCAGATGATGCAGATATATGATACTCATCAGCAGACTAGTCACAGACAAATGTGATGTTGGGAGACAAAAGTCTGGTTGGAGGCGGTCTGTCACGGGAGGCCTGGTGGGGAAGGGTGTATCTTCCTTCCTCCCTTGATTCTCGGCTTCCTTCTGTCGTGCTATGAGTTGTTGTTCCTTGTTCTTGCCACTTGTTGCCTGCTTGCTTGCTACTTGCAAGCCTCTGCCTGTTCTGATTTTCCAAGGACTGTTTCTCCTCTGTAATACCCCTCTGCTATGCCACTTTTCTTGGAGCCAGC